GTACGCGGGTACCACGCTTACCCGGGGGCTGGATTTGAGCTCATTAGCACCTGCTTGGATGTGGAACATTCCCCTAAAATTTCAGCTTTCCAGCATCCCAGAACCCCGAATTATGAATTTACGCGAGAAAAATTTTGGGGGGCCCGTACGGGGGTACCATGCCTACCCGAGGTCTGGGTTTGAGCCAACTAATATCCGCTTGGGCGGGGAACATTACCCCAAGATTCCAGCGTTCTAGCTTCTCAGATCCTCGAGTTATGAACCGACCCCAAAAAAACTTTGGCGGGCTCGTACGCGGGTACCACGCGGGTTTTGGCGCCAATTTTGTGGACGGGGACCCGTACGTGCATGCAGATTTATGTCCCCAAAGTTTCAGCCCCGTAGCTTTTGCCGGTCTGGAGATGAAAAGTCGGTACAGAGGCCCAGCGCACACACAGACACAAACACACACACAAACACACACACAGACACACACAAACACACATACACACACACAGACCTCTCATCAGTATGCGTTTTTCGCATTGCATTGCTGCAAAAAACGCATAACAACCTCTCGTCAATATGGGTTTCTCGCATTGCATTGCTGCAAGAAACGCATAAAAATTTTAGTCCGAGGAATTTTTTCTTTGTTTTTTTGCGAGAAAAATTTCAGAAGGAAAATCGTTTATTTTTGCGAATAAAAAAGAGGAATAATCAAGCACGAAAGAGAGGGGAATAAACACATGAACAAATTCAACAGCTTCAATCGCAGCGGTACCCCACAGTTCATGGGTTGACGAATTCGAAAGAAAAAAAAACGAACAACCACCATGCGAGTGAAATGATCATGTCAAAAGTCATCAAATGTCAAAATAGAGCATTCAGTAATATATAGTGAACAGGTGTAAAATGTCACAGACAGGGAATATCCAGAAAATCAGACACGTGTTTTTTCTCGACCTCAAAAACGCAAAAGAAGTAACGTTGTCTCAGCTGTAATATCACACACAGAAGGGGCGGCACATCCAGAAAATCAAACAAATGGCTTTTTTTTTTCTCTCTTCAGTCTTAAAAATACAGGAAAATTAATTCAGATGCTCCTAGATAAGATAAGAGAGCAGCAGTTGCTGGTTACACAATAACCAAAGTAGCTAAAACAAGTACAGGAACAAGAGAGAGAGAGGGAGAGGGAGAGGAAGAGAGCGAGTGAGCGATAGTTCAATCAATGCTCAAGTACACCA